TTCTGCATCTTTAAACATGCCCGTTATTTCGAAATATATTTCTAAGTAACAGGCACGCTATTCTAGCGTCCCTGTAATCAAACATGCCCGTTATTTCGAAATATATTTCTAAGTAACAGGCGCACTATTCGTTCCGTGAGGGTTAAGGGACCTGTCAGAATGGCGCTTTATTTCAAAATTTGGTGCTGTGTAAACAATGACAAAATTTGCAATGGCGCTTTATTTCAAAATTTGGTACTGTGTAAACAGTGACAAAATTTGCAATAAGCTATTTCGAAATTACCTCAAAATAAGCTACACAATTTGCATAGCTAATTTTGAGTTAAGGGTGCTGTGTAGATGCATCCTTAGTGAAAAAGGGTTCACACTCTAAAGGCTCAGATGCACACACAGGGTATGTCTCCACTTTCACCCTAGTTTGAATTAGAGATGCAAATGTAAGCATTCGAAATAGTCAGTGAAGCGGGGATTTAAATATCCCATGCTTCATTAGCATGATCTTGCCGGCATGTTACTCCGATCAACAGCTGTTTCGAAAGTGAAAGTGTGCGCCAGGATGCGTTAGTTCGAACCAAACCCCTTGGTTCGAACTAACATTACTTCTCAAAAAATGAGGCTGGCCATCTCCTCACTGCTGATTGTGTGTGGAATGGCCTTCCAAATTCACTTGGAAATGTTTCAACTGAATGTTGGAGATGTGTGTGGGGGCGGGGGCGGGTTTGGAGAGCAGCAGCCTTGTGGAAACTAAAAAAGTTTGCCGGAGAGGTCTGGTTTCAATGAATTGCCAATTGAAGTTGAGAAAAACGTTTCACAATTTGTTGTCTCTCTTGACAGTATCTAACCAAAGAAAAAGTTTCCACTTTGGTTCACAACAATTTTTTGGTTTGGAGTTTCAATTAATTTATAGTTAAACAAAGAGGGAGGATTTAAAAAAAAACGAAATAGAAATCAAAGCACTCACACTTTATACTGACCCTGGTACTAAAGTGCAAGGAACCCAATACCTTAATGTCTGTCTCCTGATTTGACCTGAGCCAATATGACAAATCAGTTAGGCTTTTCCCACAGTCAGAAAGTTGGAACATACGGTGTACTCGGACATACGGTGTACTCGGACATATGGTGTAGTTGGACATACGATGTACTTGGACATATGGTGTACTCGGACATACGGTGTACTCGGACATACGGTGTAGTTGGACATACGGTGTACTTGGACATATGGTGTAGTGGGACATACGGTGTAGTCGGACATACGGTGTAGTCGGACATACGGTGTACTCGGACATACCGTGTACTCAGATAAATCATCTTCCACCCAAAGTCCACAGTAGGAAAGCTGTTTTAGCCCCAGAACAGTGTTCTAGCATGTTCTTCAGCTTGGTTGGCTTCTGAGGTGTTAGAGCAACAAACTGCGAAAGAGAGCAGCATTGTGAAACCAAACATACATCGCTGATAGACGCAAAAATACCACTAGAGCACTCACTGGCCTTTGGGGCATGGTTTGGGCATGCAAGGTAACCAGATTACAGAGCCAAAAAAAAAACCCGGTTAGATCTGTAGGCCAAATCTGGGTTTGTAGCAAGTCAGCGATCGTTAGCATGGATGTGAATGAGACTGGCACTCATTCTTGCATCTTCCAGGAAATGCCTTGTAGGGGAATGTTCAACCAAAGATCTGACAGGGAAATCCCCTTACGGAACCCGATTCCCAGAAAGGGACGGTAAGTTGGACTCTGAAATGAACTACTTTGTGTTTCTGACTGGATTTGACATGGAAGAAGAAGAAGAAGAAGAAGAGTAAATTCCCTAGGATTCATTTTCAAGTGTCGAAGGGATTAGGAGGGAAATTAAAACGCTTGTCTAAGATGTGGTAGCATCCAGCGATGGTGGCGCTATGGCAGAGCCGAGGTTGAGCAGATAGCCCGTGGACAAGGGAAGCACCATCCAATGCCAGAAGCTTGTTATTTACTGGCATGGGGTTCCCAGCCAATATTCCCCTGAGCTCAGTGGCCTGTGTTCTCCAGAAAGCCAGGTTAGACTAACACCAGGGCCGTCCGATCCATAAAGAAGAGTTAGCTGTGACCTATGGCATGCCTGCCCGGGCTGCTGCCTCTAGAGAGTTCTCTGTAGAAATATCAGCTACGTGCAAAAGTCCTTGTAATATTGAGGTTTTGGATCAGGGGTGGGGAACCTAAGACCCGAGGGCCAGTTGTAGCCCCAGCTTGCCTGGATCCGGCCTCTTAGACTCAAGGCTCCCTCCTCAGCATTGGGTAGCCCGTGCTAGCGCACCAGGCCCTCCCGACATATCCCCGGAGAGCTAGAGCGCACACAATCGACTAGCCTGATAGCAAGGAATTTATTTCCTCTCTCCAGCCCCAGTTCATTGCTTCATTTTACTCCTTTTGAGTGGATTTCTGTGGGGAATTCTTCTAAACCAAAGGTCTGAGCCCACATCTCCTGTGGTGTTCCAGAAACAGCTTTTTTTTTTTAAATAACGCACATGGAATGGGAAGCATTTGGAATGAGGCAAGAAGAAAACCAGCAATGACCGGTTTATGTGTCGGCGATGCACATAGCAGCCACGCCCAACTCTGAGGCAATTGCGGAGGAAAAGTCCTTAGAAAACTGCATAACGTTCCTTGGAACTGGGCAGGCTTGTAGAATTCCCCGTGGTAGGTACGAGGGACGGAGCAAACACTGCAGTACCGTGCTCTGTTTAAGGCAGGCCTGGTGACTCTGCTTGGGTGCTTCTGCAAAGAGAAAATCATGCAAAATGACTGTCCCCTGTTCTCTCAGGTACATCAGCCACTGGTAGGATGATGGTGATAGCCAATAAATAAAAAGCCCAGGAATTTCCACCTCGGTTATTACAGTTAGCCAGGATATGATGCAAAATCTGGCCAGGAACCAGCCCGCAGCGGTGACTGAGTCCTTTTTCCAGCCCAAATAGGTCGTTCTTACAATGGGTTGAAATCTAGGGCGTATCGTACCGAGTCTCAAAAACAATCCAGTGGTTCTCTGCCCATTCTAAGGTAAGCGAGCTGCTGGAGCTCCGTGTGTCTTTCCCGTCAGTTGCCGTCTGGGAGATAAGGCCCCAAGGCCTATGTTGCAGTATAGGATTTACCCCTCTGGGCTCTGTGGTGATTCATGTTGTGCAGGATGCGTCAGGAGAAGGGGCTTGCCCGCTGACATTCTTGGCTAAGACAAGCAATCACCGTCCAGTCTTGTAGCTGGCCGAGTTTTCAGTGGGGACACAAGGAATGCAGGAGGAAGCGTGCAGGTTCCCTGTGGTGACGGTCAACATGAAAATACAGATCTGTGGAGTTTAATTGCTCCCTTTCTGCTGGATTTTTTTTCCCCTTTTCTGTTAATCCCAAAGATCACAGACCTCCCTGCTTCCGAACTTCTCCAGCCGGGGTTTGAACATATGGCTCTTGTTTGAGAACGCCAAACATTTCCAGTGAGGCTAGCAGGTGGGATTCTGTCCTGCGCTCCAAAGAAATAAACCATCTGAGCTTCTCCACGGAGGCAGCCTTTGCATCTGTCTGCATGGAATGTGTCTCTCCAGGTGGCATGCGTATTGCAGGTGTTTGATTTCCAAAGGCGAGGTTCATTGGCAGGCTATCGTCACACGAGCTGTCCCGGGGAGGGTTAGCACACAGGACACAGACAGTCCTTAGAAGCCGATTTCTATCGGTGTGTACAGAGCATGCCTGGAGGGAGGAAAGGGAGGAGTGAATCTTTTCACAGAGCTGCCTTGAAATGAAAAGTGTTTTCTAGCTTCAGTGCACCAACAATTGGGCTAGTTCAATACATAAGCTCCTCAAACCAAGATGGCAACACACCGCCATGAAAACGATTATTGAGAGCCATGGGATCTTGAATGGCTGGGGGCAGAAGCCAAATTAGACAAATTAGTACAGTTTGAACCACTCGAGTCCAGCACACTCGGGACCAAACTGGTGCTGAACCAGAGATTTTTCCGGACCACCGGAGGTCAATATTGTCTAGCAGTATGACCAACACTTCCACTGCTTACTGGGCTCTTAGAAGACAATGAGGGGTAAATCAGAGCTAAATCACAGCACAGAACACTGAGAACCAGGACTGGGGGCTGTAAACAAACTTTATGGGACCACAGGAAACTCAGCCGTACCCATGCTAAGTGGACCTCTGGCTAACTGAAATCATGCCGGACTACAGAGGTTGCTGGACCAGAGAGTGCCGGACTAGAGAGGTTCAACCTATACAAAATTGTGGGTGGAACTGACGAAAGGGGAGATGGCAAACGGGTTGTGTGTAAAGGGGAACTATCTAGATGACTAATGAGGTTCACGGGTTGAGCTGGGGCCAGTCTTAGGCCGTGTCCAGACTCAGGGTTTTTTTTGGGAAAAGTAGCCTTTTCCCAAAAAAACCTCCCCTGCGTCCAGACTCAAGCCGCGGTCTTTCGAAATTATTTCGAAAGAACGCGGCTTTTCTTTCGATGGCGGTAAACCTCGTTTCACGAGGAAGAACGCCTTCTTTCGAAAGTTCCTCTTTCGAAAGAAGGCGTTCTACAATGTAAAGAGGCCGTCTTCGAAAGAGAGCATCCAGACTCGCTGGGTGCTCTCTTTCGAAAAAGCGGATTTCCTCTATCGAAAGATCCGCCTGCAGTCTAGACGCGATCTTTCGAAAGAGGCTCTTTTGAAAGATGCTTTCGAAAGAGCCTCTTTCGAAAGAAGCCTGCAGTCTAGACATAGCCTTAGTGTTTTTCTTAATGCCCCCCGCACAAAAAGTAGGAATGTGCTAATGAATTTGCTGATGATACAAAGTTAGGAAGCATCATCAGTACAGAGGTGGATGGAAATAAACAGGCCAGAACTCTCTGATCTGTGCATGCAGCAACCAGGTAAAACCAAAGGGCCTCGCATTTCCTGGCCGAGCAGTTGCAATCCCAGCCTGTGGGAATCTCTGCCCTGGCATTGACACGTGTGTGTGTGTGTGTGTGTTTGCTTACAGAACACCCTGGAGCAGTGCAGCGTCTGCACCAAGCCCATCATGGAGAGGATCCTGCGAGCCACGGGGAAAGCCTACCATCCGCACTGCTTCACCTGTGTGATGTGCCACCGCAGCCTGGACGGCATCCCCTTCACGGTGGACGCCGGCGGGAACATTCACTGCATCGAGGATTTCCACAAGTACGGCCCGGCCTGCTCTTGTCGGTGTCTCCTGCCCTGGAGCGCGGCCTCTCTGCCTCGCTTCTAAAAATCGCTTCTCTCTTGACGGGGGAGGGACCTACCCAGCTGTATAATCTTCCTGGAAGTCCCTGGAGGCCAGGGAGCCAGCGGGCACCCCCAGCATGCCAGCTGAATTGGCCAGGGGAGGCGGTTGTGGGAGGATTTTTCCCTTTGCCTCCCCAGCTGCCTGGTCCTTCTCACGTCAACAGAAAACAGCAATCCTGGAAGTCCAGAGGTGCAAACAATGTGAAGTTTTGGGGGTTAGCTTCCCGCCAGCATGACTCCAGTTTGCTTTCCTTTTTTCCTTGGTTTTCCCCCTGGTTTTCTCGTTCCCTCCCCCTTTATCCCTAAGATCTATAGCCATATTTTCAGGTATTCCCTCACCCTTTTTGGGCTTGGGGGCCGTACACAAGTAAGAAGACCAACAAAAACAAACCTAGCCCTCAAGTGAGGAGGAGATAGACCCTCCCCATATTCCCCTCGCACACCAGAGCCTGGGGGGCCAGGCTAGTTGATGTTGGGTGTGGCGGTGGGGGAGGGGGACTGTAGCACCAGCACAAGCTCCCCAATGCTGGGACCTCGGGGGGCCAGATCTAGGCAAGCGGGAGCCGCATCCGGCCTCCGGGCCTAAGGTTCCTCACCCCTGCCCTGACCAGTCATTGTACTGAACTGTAACTGACCAGCGTAACACATTGGCACATGTTTATCTAACCAGTTCTATCCCAGCACCTTAATGGGGCTGCATCCAGCAAAAGGGAATGATACAGGAGACGGAAACGATCCAAGAACCAGACCGAGAAACGACTGAGGGATGCGGAGTAGGCCCTGGCCAGACAGAAAGCTGTCCACCTAAGTTTCTAGGCCCTTCCCTTTATCTGTAGGCCATAGATCAGGGGTGGGGAATATAAGGCCCGGGGGCTGGGTGGGGCCCCCAGCTTGCCTGGATCCGGCCCCCGAGGCTCAGGGCTGGCCCCCAGCCTTGGGGAACCCACGATGGTGCCTGTTCCCCCCCTGAAGGCTCCGGTGTGTGAGGGGAATGTGGGAAGTGGGGCCCCCTCCCTGGGTGGCCCCCAGCTGATTTTTCTGCAGGTCAGCAGCCCCCGGCCCAAAAAGGGCTCCTCACCCCTGCCATAGAGAATAGCCCTACGTTGCTGGAATGGGCCTGGTTTTCGCAGGAAGGCTTTGGGCTGGTTTGGAATGTGCCAAAGAACAAGGCCTGGGACAGAGACTTGGGGCTTACATTGGCCTTTCCAGACAGGCCTGACTAGCTGTGTCCTAATGGGGGCCACGTGGATTTGTCCTGCATCCGCGGCAAGGGATGTCTGCGTGTTCACAGATCTCCCGTCACACCTTGCGCGCGCCACTCGCCCGGGGTTCTGCCTGTAGGGTGCAGGCCCCCCGGGATTTCCTTACCCCCGCCCACCCCGACTTCCTGCTGCACTTCGCCGATGTGCTGCGTGCCTTGCCTGCGGCCTGCAGAGCACAGTGGGTTAGTTGCCTCCCCCTCCTTTGTTTCCATCTGTTAATGAGCCCTAAAGGAGCTAAGGAAACATTCCTAATAATAATCCTTGATGAAATATCTATTTAAAGTGCACTGCAATGGAGGTAGCTGCGGTCTCCCCCCTCCCCATATTGCAGCTAATCGGAGACAGGCACGTACGTAGACTAATCAAAGCACCAATGTTTCCCTAGCTTGGGAGCGACAGACACGGTACACCCCTCAATTAAAAGAGGAAGTCAGTACCGACGAATGTGGGTTTCCATCTCAAGCACTTATCGTTTAATTTCTAAGGGGGCAGACTTAATTAGAGGCTCGTGACATCAGCGTGGGGACCTGGGAGCGCCGCGCGGCAGACTTGCCTGACAAAAGGAATCGCAGCCGCCATGCGGGAAAATGCTAAACTCCGGCATGAAAGGCTCCCTGAAGCTCAGCTACGCTGCGTCTTTGGCAGCTGCAGAGGCGGCTGTGTGTTCGCTCTCCCTGTGTGTGGCTCAGCAAGACTCCTGAGAAAGCATCCAGAGGGTGAAATTCACCCTTGTGCTGAGGGCGGCAGAAAGCCAAGGCTGGGGCACTACATTATGTCCCACTTAAGCTCCCTACGCCGCATGTGTCACTGTATGCCAGATGGTCCTGCCCCTTCTGTCCCTACCTGAGAGATTGACTTCCTCTGGGAAGAACTAAGAACAGGCAGAACCTCTCTAGTCCAGCACCCTCGGGACCTAACCGGTGCCGAACCAGAGAACTCGCCCGACCACGGGAGGTCAGCGTTGTCTAGAAGTATCACCAACACGGCCATTGCTTGCTGGGCTCTTAGGAGACATTGAGGCGTAAATCAGAGCTAAATAATAGCACAGAACACTGAGAGCCAGGACTGGAGGCTGTAAACAAATGTTATGGGCCTGCTGGAAAGTTGGCCACACCCATGCTAAGTGGACATCCAGCGCGCTGAAATCATGCCGGACCACAGAGGTTGCCGGATGAGAGTGCCGGATTAGAGAGGTCCAGCCTGTACCTTGATGGGTTAAACGGTGCCTCTGCCTCATACTGCCCCTCAACCCATGGGTGAATTTCACTCTGAGACAGCAGATGGCATAGGACCAGGATCTGAACTGGATAGGTACAAGGCTGGGAGGACATGCAGGGATTTGCAGACCGAGTCGGACTACTGAGTCCGTCTGCAATCAGTGCAGAGTGTGTGCTCTGAGGTATGTTCCGCGGTGCTTGCACCCAGGTTTAGTTGGTACAGGGAAGGACACTTCCATTGCTTCTCTTTGGCCTCCGCTCCACGGCCTCGTGTCTCATTCAGTGGTCACCAACCAGTAGATCTTGGAGCCTCTGACAGGTGATTCTGACTGGTTTGGCCAAGAGGCTGCCAAATGCCAGCACTTCAGCTGCCCCTCCTCCCACTGCTGCTCATCTCCTGCCCTTTGCCTTGGGTTCCCCTCCCCCCCCCCGCCCCCAAGCCTCCTGCTTGCTGGGAAGGGAAGGGAGAGGAGAGGGGATTGATGTCAGGATGTCCCCTCTTCCACCCTGTATTCTGTCTCCACAGAAAAGAATGTTTGCTGGTTGCTTTTGGTAGTGGCACAGGGCCAGAGTAGGGGTAAACCTGCCTTAGTCCCCTGCACTACTACCCAGAATCCACCTATGGTAAGAGGTGCCCAGCTGAAGCCTTCATTCCAAACCCTGATCCCAGTCCTGAATCCTTCCTGCCCCCCAAACCACTGCCCTAGTCCTGAGTCCCCCTGCACCCAAACTCCTACCCAGAGTCAGCACCCTGAACCCCCTCCTGCACCTCAATTCCCTGCCCCAGGCTCAGCTCAGAGCCCCCCTCACACTCAAAATCCCTTAGCCCAAGACCAGAGCCTGGTCTTAAGTTGCACTTAGTTGAAAAAGTGACCTCGTGGCTAACACAGTTGGAGACCACTGGTCTAATTATTAAGAACATCGATCCAACGTGCCCATTTTGCCTCGGTTTAATTTTACCTCCCTGTAGCACGTACAGGATTCCTTTCCCAGCAGCGGGGCCCACAGCATCGCCAGGCCCCCAGAAGGGGCGGAGCCTCAGGTGGAAGGGGCGGGGCTGAGGCCACTGGGGCAGTAGCCGCGGTGGCCGGGAACTCTGGGCCCTTTATATCACTGGGCCCTAGGACATGTCCTTCCCCCATAAGTGGGCCTGTTCTCCACGGTTCCTGCCTTTTAAATACTAATATGGCACCTGCATAACCTTTGGGTAGAAAGTGAGTGAGAAGAAGCATTCAGGGTGTGCTGACAGATATGGAGGCAAGAAGGAACAGATCGAAGGGGATTGCGGATGCAGAAATACACTCAGTAAATCTAAACGCTGGACCCAAAATCTGGAGGGGGAAGATTCACAAACATTCAAAAGTATTGTAGACCTCTTCCTTTGCAAATTGTGGCAAAAAAAAGCTGCTCTTAAAAATTCCTACAAAATGTTTTCCTGAAAAATTGTCATTTCTGAATATTTTCAGGTTTTATTTTTTTCACTCGTTTCATTCTTTTTTCCTTTATGAAATCTACAAAATCACGACTGGAGAGAAAGTAGATCAGACGGAGTAAATAGCATTTCCTTATAACAAAAGACATGGGGGGGCAGGGTCACCAAATGAAATGAATAGGTTGCAGATTTAAAACATATACAAGGAAATATTTCTTCACACAACATACAGTCAACCTGTGGAACTCCTTGCTAGAAGATGTTGGAAAGGCCAAGATTATAAAGGAACTAGATAACTTCATGCAAGTTAGGTCCATCAGTGACTATTAGCCAGGGTGGGCAGAGATGGTGTCCCTAGCCTCTGTTTGCCAGAAGCTGGGAATTAACACCAGGGAATGGATCGCTTGATAATTACCTGTTCATTCCTTCTGGGGCACCTGGCATTGGCCACTGTCAGAAAGCAGGATACTAGGTCCTGCCTAGAGCAGGGGCCTGGACTTGATGACCTTCTGAGGTCTCTTCCAGTTCTATGATTCTATGATTAGGCTAGATGAATCTTTGGTCTGACCCCATATGGCCGTTCTTATGTTTGCCACTGAAAAAGAGAGGGAAATGCAGTCGGAAAGAGAGAAAAACAAAACTTGTGTTGGTTTTTCAGTTTCAGAAAAGGGCTGAAAGTTGTTTTGGGGAGAAGGGAGTCAGGTTTTTTTAGTGAAAAAGTCTAAAATCTCTTTCCATCCGGCTCTGTTGGCTGTTTGGAACTGCTGTTGCGTTTCCTCACCTGAAAGATGAGGAACAAGTGCAGTATGTGAAATCCACCTGAAAAACAGGATCAGACAGATGCTCCCCTCAGAAACACAGACCGCTCAGCTCCCGTTGAATTCAGTCAGAGTCATTTCTGCATCTCTCCGGAAAAAAAATTGGCCCATCCTATTTGCCTTGACCTAGATAGAGAAACATTCGAGCATTTTAAGCATTGCATTTTAGCTGAATGGCACAAGCAAGTGCCTGAAACACCACATTATTAACTGTGATTACAGCTACGGTCATATCATGATCCATTTAAATTCCCTTTCGGCGCAATCAGCAAGGGTGTTGTTTAACTCATGGCTGGGTAGCCGCCATCTCACAAAAAGCCTTCCATCTGCTGCCAATGGAATTACTACTACTTTTTTTTTTTTTTTTTACTCCGACTACAGATAGATTTTTTTTTTTAATCGAGTGAATCCAGGGGTGGCTGGTGCTAGGGATGTAAAATCCCGTTTAATAGGATTGTTCAGTGATTAAAGGTGGGGCAGGCAGGGGGACTCCTGGAGCACCCACCCCACCCACCCACCACGGCCGGGCTAGAACACCCCTCTCCACGGCGGGGTTGGAGCAGCCCGCTGACTGCAGTGGACCCCATGGGGGTGAAGCAGCTGCCTCAACCCCCACCACTTAACCACAACCTGCTTGTTCTTATCTGCCTCTCAAATATATAGAATGCTGCTGCGACCTCCTGTCTCTGATCGTTACGAACCATTCGGCCTCTTTTCTTACTTAACATCAGAACGGCCACACTGAGTCAGACCAAAGGTCCATCCGGCCCAGTGGCCTGTCTGCCCCCAGTGGCCAACGCCAGGTGCCCCAGAGGGAGGAAACACAACAGGGAATCACATGAAAGACTAACAAGATGGTTTATTAGGTGATAAACTATCTTGTTAGTCTTTAAAGTGCTACCTAGTCCTGTTCTGTGTTTCAGCTAGACCAGACTAACACGGCTACATCTCTATCGACAGGTAATCACGTGATCCCTCCCCTGACACCCACTTCCAGAGAAACAGAGGCGAGGGACACCATTCCTACCCATCCTGGCTAATAGCCATTGATGGACCTAACCTCCGTGAATGTATCTAGCTCTTTTTTAAACCCTGTTAAAGTCCTGGCCTTCACCACATCCTCTGGCAAGGAGTTCCACAGGTTGAGTGTGCACTGAGTGAAGAAAAACTTCCTTTTGTTTGTTTTAAACCTGCTGCCTATTCATTTCATTTGGTGACCCCTAGTTCTTATATACTTATACTTCCTCTTCGTTCTGTGGCTTGGTATCCAGCTCTGTTCTTGCTTGAACCTGAGGTACTGCTGTTTCCTAAACCTGGACATGTTCTCCTCAGATCTTGACAGTGTTCTTAGAGGGCCCCTTAGGGGGCGATGCCTGCCAGTTAACCTTTCACGTCCCTAGTTGGTGTAAAAGGCTATGGCTGAGTCACTGTTTCCTAGATCTGTTACAAGAGAAGCACCTTTGGTCTCCTCACGTTGACACTTACCTTAAGCATTGCCCAGCAGCCCTAATTCTACACCTCTGAGCTATTCGACAGCGTCCCTTCTGAGGGACAGATTGTGTGGGGAGTGCAGCATTTGCACCTGCCCAGTGAAGAACTGTGGGCAGAACGCGGAGTCTTTTCACCTGGGCCTGCCAGATTGTGGGTGCAAATCAGGCCGTCAAGAGAGAGGCCACTAGTTAGATCTGCGCTCATCGCTCTCTTTGCGGTGCACAGCTTGAGCCTAATGAAAACGAACAGCCCGTGGGCGTCACGGGAGCCAGATGCTTGAGGGTTTTAAGACTGGATAAAACCCAAGAAAATCAGATTACGGAGAGCAGCCCTGCACTAGTAGGATCTTAGCTGCATCCTGCTTGGTCCATCTCTCGGTTCTAGTGTATTTTCAGTAGAAACGGGTGGGGCAAATGCTGCTAACTTCATTCATCGGAGGAGTTCCCTTGATTTCAGTGGCATTGTATTCGGCACATGAGACTAGCTCGCTGTGGCACTGGGATACCCCGGAGAGCGATGCCATAAGGAAATTGTTCAAGCGGTTATTAAGGTAAGCAGAAGATGGTCTAGAACAAGAAGCAACAGACTTAAATTGCAGCAAGGGTGGTTGAGGTTGGACATTAGGGGCATGTCTAGACTACATGGCTCCGTCGATGGAGCCATGTAGATTTGTTTACTCGGCAAAGGGAAATGAAGCGGCGATTTAAATAATCGCTGCTTCATTTAAATTAAAATGGCTGCCGCGCTGAGCCGATCAGCGGTTTGGCGGCACAGCGCTGTAGTCTGGACGCTCCGCGGTCGACATCAAAGGCATTTGTCGACCTCCCCGGTAAACTTCATCCCATGAGGCATAACAGGGAGGTCGACAAATGCCTTTGGAACATCCAGACTACAGTGCTGTGCCGCCAAACAGCTGATCAGCACAGCGCGGCAGCCATTTTAATTTAAATGAAGCAGCGATTATTTAAATCACCGCATCATTTCCCTTTGCCTACAACCCTAATTTACCTAATCTGTCAATGGAGCCATGTAGTTTAGACATGCCCTAGGAAAAACTTCCTAATTCTGAGTGGTTGAGCACTGGAATAAATTGCCTAGGGGGGTTGTGGAATTCCATCCCTGGAGATATTGAAGAGCAGGTTGATCAGACGCCCGTCAGGGATGGTCTAGACCGTGCTTGATCCTGCGGTGAGGGAAGGGGACTGGATTGGATGACCTCGCAAGGTCCCTTCCAGTTCTAGTGTTCTAGGATTCTGAGGCCTCCCCATCATTCTCTAGGATCTCAGGAGCATCCCTTAATGTGCTCTTCCCACGGAGGCCACTCTGCTTGAGGATATGTGTGTGTTCCAGTTCACTTTCTGGTTCTCAGTGTCTAGTGGAACATATGAAGTAGGTGGCTGGGCATTTGGGATCTAACTGGAACCTTCTTTGCTTTCAAGGAAATTTGCCCCGCGCTGTTCGGTGTGTAAGGAGCCCATTATGCCTACCCCGGGTCAAGAGGAGACCATACGCATTGTGGCATTAGATCGGGACTTCCACGTCCAGTGCTACCGGTGTGAGGTCAGTATTCCCACCGTCGGCAAGGAAAGAAAACAGAGCTGGGCTTTGCTGTCCTGACACAACTGACTTTCTCTTGCGTGAACAACGGGCCCATGGCTGTTCTCACGCTGGTTCTACATTAAACATACTTCATCGACTTCAGCAGAAATTATTCCTGATTTGCACATGCACAGTGCAAATGGTAAGAGACTAAGGCCTTCTTGTTTCTATCAGCCTCCTTGTGATAGCAGATTACAACTCGATATTGAGCGCTTAATATTTGGGAACCTAGACATTCATTACCTAGATAGCTATGTTGCACCTATTGGCTTTATTAAAATCATCACTAATGCGTGTTGCAATGTGAGCAAAATTATACGAGTGAGTCAAAAAGGTGCAAGTTCATAATTAGCTGGAAATCAGCCTACAGCTTGTGGTTGGAGAACTGTAATGGGCACATAAACATGGTCATTCTTGTTTAAGTATGGTCCTTTCTGTGCTACTTTACTGGTGCACACAATTTTGATAGAAATGGGAAACAGAGACGAAATCACCACGGTATGTTTAGCGTATTGAACCTCCAAGGATTCTGCAATACAGCTGTTCCCTGTGGGATACATGGAGCCCTGTAAATCCACGGATATCCGCTTTATATCCAGGGGTATCCGCCTCCGCATATGTGGACGCTGATACCCACGGCTCATTTTTGCGGATGCAGATACACGTTTTGCATCTCGAACCTTGCCCATTTGCGGCTATCCGCTTTACACCCAGGTGGCTGCGGATATCCACGGCTCATTTTTGCAGCTACAGATGCAGATGCAAAATTGTGTATCCATACGGGGCTCTAGAGATGAACACCCATCAGATGAGAGGGCAAGTCGTGAGCCCCCGTAATGGTGCTGATCACAGTCAAAGGCTCCGCTGCAGGACTGAGTTCAGTTACTAGCTCTGCCCCGTGTAATCCCATGTGCGATCTCAGGGCCATCACTCCATCTTCACAAGCCTCTCTGTTTACAAAGGGCTGATAGTTACGCTGTCTCCTCCACGCTTTGTCTTGGGTATTGGATCACAAGCTCTGTAGAGCAGGGACTGTCTCTTGCGATAGGTCTGTAAAGGGTTCAGCACGCTGGACTCCCGGCCTTTGGGTGCTAGCGTAAGAATGACGACAGCCACGGGAAGGCGTACGCTCAGAGCAGCGCTTTGCTGTCATCTCTGGGCTGTGTTCTCTCCCTTTCTGGCGTTCTCTCTTCCAAAGAGAGATCCCCTCTAGTCCACGACACTGGCAGCAAACTGGTTTCCGAGGTTTGCTCCTTGTTTTTTCCTGTTGGCCAGGATAAACATGTGTCTTGTTCCACAATGCGATGGCTCTTTTTTCCCTCAAAAGATGAGGAGGAAATAATCTTTTCTTTTCAGTTGGATTAAATGTGGCAGAGGGCGGGAGAGCCCCTCTCTGTATCACCTCTCAGGGAGAGGATCAATCATGAAAGACGTGGAATTCGCATGCTGGCCGGGACGGATTCTGTCGCCGTGGGAGGGGAGTGTGTATTTCACCAGTGGGTCCTTTGCCTAATCCCACTCTCATGTCCATTCTTCTTTTGGTCTTTATTTTTTCTTGATTGTCTAGGACTGTGGTGGCCTCCTGTCGGAAGGGGACAATCAGGGCTGCTACCCTCTGGATGGACACGTCCTTTGCAAGACCTGCAACTCAGCTCGGATCCAGGCGCTCACTGCTAAGGCCAGCACTGACCTTTGAGCATCAGCTGCCACCCGCCCATATTTGCCCGTGGGGGGAATTGCACAACCTTTCCATTTAGCGTGACTCCTTTGCAGCCTAGAACCTCATTCTCTACAGGTCGAACCTCCCTAGTCCGGCACCCCTCGGGACCTGTCCAGTGCCGAACCAGAGAATTTGCCAGACCACAGGAGGTCAATATTGTCTAGCAGCATTACCAACACTTCCACTGGTTGCTGGACTGCTAGAGGACAATTATGGGTAAATCAGAGCTAAATCACAGCACAGAACACTGAGAGCCAGTTCTGGAGGCTGTAACCAAACTTTATGGGGCCGCGGGAAACTTGGCCACACTCATGAAAAGTAGACATCCAGCTAACTCAAATCACGCTGGACCACGGATGTTGCCAGACCAGAGAGTTCTGGACTGGAGAGGTTCAACCTGTAGTGAAAAAGTGAAGCTGGAAGGCTGTGGGACAAGCGAGCAAGTTTCTAAGTTTCTCCCTCTATTTGATTGCTATCTCTTAAGAAGCACATTAAAACAGAGGAGATCGGTCTCTGTTCTCTTACTATGGTGTAAGACCTGATTTGACACCCATTGACGTCAGTGGGAAGCGACCTGTTGGACATAATTCCATAATAATAGACTTACACCCGTGCAAAAGCAGTGGGAGTCCAGAGTAATTGTTCTCACCAGACAAACTATTAGGCCTTGAAATGGGTGTTGTTTTCAATCAGAGGGACACGGATTTGTTTTCAATCATAAGGCCCGTGTCTTTTTCACATGCTCTCGCTTGTCTCGACCCCCTTCCAGCTTGATAACTTTGTTTCTTTTTTATAATATTATCTTTTGCTGTTGCATCAGTGTAGTCAATATGGATGCTTCCAATTCACCGATGCTTAGGCGTTTGCGTATGAGCCCTCACGGAAAGTTGCGAGCTTTGCACGCACACACAGCCATATATCCTTTGGATACACTAGAAATATGAAGTCACTGAGAAGTTGGGTTAATTGTTTTGGGGGCTAGAAAGGATTAAAACATTTCAAAATGGGCTCAAATGAATTGTCTAATGAAAGCCACCACAAACATGCTCAAAAGGATCTGAAGCTATCCAGGGCCAATGCAGAGGCGTAGTGACCAGTGAGCAATGCTTGTTTCCAAACAAGTACTTCAGGAATGGAGTCTTGACCCAATAGAAAGACTCCCCTTGAACTGAATTCTACCTTGAGACAGGCTGAGGGATTCTGGTCCGATGGGAATATACCAGAGCTGGAGTTACAACACAAGCTAGGAGGATGGCTTACTATTTCAGCATTCAGGGTTTTC